AAGCTTTACTAGAAAATATTTTTTTTTGTAGTCTATAAGGGAACTAAACCATGTTATGGCCCACTTCCACTGACTGGTACAGAACGATATGATACGATACGATACAGGTCAGTACGAGTCACCTTTATCAGGCTTAGGGTTAGGGTTTACTTTTTTTTTACGCGTCAGTCTCGTGTTTGTCATTTCTGACAGAATCAAATGTATATTTAAAACATGTATATTTAAAACCTTTGTTAAAACGTACTTTTTAAAAACCCAAAACCCTACCGTACTGTCCCACTCAGTGAAAAAGGGCCATTACACAAATAAATTTGATAATACAATAAATAAATTTTTAATGTTTGTAACATTTTTCACCATGAAACTGGTTGAACAAGACTATAATGAGTCTAATAACTAATAGGAAGCTAGACATTTCAGATACAACAACAGTTACATGCTTTGTTTCTGCAAAATAAGTGTTTTTAAACAAACAAAAGTGAAAAATTCCTCAGCGTGGCTTATTTAGGAAGGATCTGAAACCTTACTGGATTGCTGTTGAACACAAAAAAGTTTTTTGGAAGAATGTTGCAAAACCAGCAACCATCGACAATCATATCATGAAAAAATAAATAATACGGAAGTCAATGGCTGCTGCTTTCCAACCTTCATCCCAATTTCTTGCTTTGTGTTCAACAAAAGAAAAACTCAAACAAGATCGGAACAAGTGTAGGGAGAGTAAATTATAACAGAATTGTCATTTTTGGGTAAAGTATATGTTTGAATTAAAAATTCAAGGCATGGCTCATACTGTGTAATCTTTAATAATGAATGTTTTTAAAATGTCAGACTTAACAAAGATGGCTCCAATGTCAGACTGTAAGATCTCAGTGGTCATAATATTAGAATGAACTCCAATGAAGACACGCAAGAGAACTCATTGATGTCATCTATCTGGGACACTTTCACTATCCCACATTCTGATATGATACCTCACGGCAAACACAAACAAACAGAAGCAGTAATTTTGCTCACAGCATGCCTTAAAACAAGAAACAAAAGCTGATTTCGCTGAGCTGTTTTAAAGTTGTGATGAGTGCGTCATCAGATTTGGCATTCCTATTGGTTCTTGGCTTGATACTTGTCATAACTGAAGTCACACTGCAGAAAATTTGTCCAAATCTTCGAACAAGTTTTGATAGCAACAGCCACCAACTATCTGTCGATGAATATGACAAGCAACAGTCAAAGACCATACATTTTAGCCTAGGATTAAAGCAATCTCTTAGGATTTCCCAATTAGACCTTATTTTACATGACGAGTCCAGTGTCACTCCACCCAGTGTATCGCTACTTCGGCCTACACAGAACTCCCCATTGAGAACTCACCCAGTCAGCTGTATATTTACTACAGATACAGTGAGATGATGACTATGACTGTTTTCTGTAGACTTAGAGATTTACGTTTTAACCAAAGTGAAAAGGGTCTATTAGTCTCAGACGTCAAAAGCGTGGCTAAAATCGCAGTGTTAACAGGGCTTTTAGTCATAAAGATAGAATAATTTATCGCCACCTGCTGGTGTATCAGTGTAACCTGCAAAACAAGTCAATAAATCCCCTCCACTAATGAACAGAATGACAGTGTGTGTCTAAAAGATTGAATTCAAATTAAGAAAATAATTTAAGTGTTGTAGCAGTTAAATTTATGGGTTACAGACATGCAATGCTTTTTCAGACCAATCAAATTCAAGGTCTGGAACTAACTGTTGTATAATTACACACAAAAGAGTGCCGCAGGGCTAAGGCAGCTCTTTCAACATACAGTGGCCGATAACTACTTCAAAACAAGTCGGCACGCTATCTAAAAGTAATGAGCAACGCGCGCTAAAAGTAACAGCTGGGCCTGCTGATGGAAAAAAAAGTTAAATAGGAAACAGAGTCCTTCTGTGAGAGCAATGCATGCTTAAAGCCAAACACTGCTGCCATGCTGGTTTCACATTACACACACACACAGTCTCTCCATGGTGTACCAAATAGTTTTCACCTCAGAGATACAGAACTCGCAGAACAAGGTTTGTGACAACAAACAATACATCCCAGAACAGAGGCTTCAGACAGTCAAAAAATAACTTAGAGAAGTGAAAGTTCTATTCAAAACAGGTCAAATCTCCTCTTGAGGTATTCCAAAAGCTAACTCTGGATAATAAAGAGAGTGACATTGAATTTAAAATGGTGCCCTTTTGAGTTTGAGAAGTATGTATTCTGTTGCAAATAACTTGATTTGAGTAATTGGTGTAAAAATACTATATAAAAAAAAATAAAGCACTTAGAATGGATTTCATCACTCCCTTCGGAAGTTTAAGAAATTTGTATTTTGTTGCAAACAGCCTGACATGAATAATTGGTGTAAAGGAACTATTTTAGAAAATAAAGCCTTTAAAATTGATTTCTTTAGCAGCAACCAACACTTGCTTTATTTAATTGTCACAATTAAAATGACTAGCACACTTTCAGTATTTATTACGCAATGATGTAGTAGTCACAGAAAACCAAACTGGAACAAAGCCAGCAACACAGACAAGCCTATACTTAGACCAGGGTCAAATCACATGTTCAGAGCAGCTGCAATAGCAGCAGTAAAGTAAACATCAATGTCAGATTAGACAATAAATAGACTGTATAGCAAGCCTTTTAAAATCCATCTACTCAGTAGGAATTTTCATCCTTCATTTCCCAGTATGCATATCTGTAGTCACCAGTAGGCCTTAACCTACTCGGCAGATTAAGACCTGTTTATCCTGTCTGAGAAAAAGGTGGTGTGATGCTTCAAACTGGTAATCTCTTTCTATTTGTGGCTAGTTGTAGACACGTTCTCATTGTCATTTCAGTGAGAAATTCTGGTAGTGATATCTAGAGAACAACCGCTGTTTTGGAACTGTACTCAATGACCTTAGATTTTATCTAGAATGACTGTGTTATTTCCTGTGCTAGTTCTCAAATTGCTCCAAATGGATTATCAATCTAACATCACGAATGTTGTTTATGTTCAGATTTTTTTGAGAATAGTAGGCTATGTGTCACATTTAATATTTTACTGTTACCCCAATGGTATTTTTGGGATTTTAATACTTCTGAATAATTTGGTTCTGTGTTAGAAATAACAGGAGTTCAATTGTGGAGTCATAAAGATGGTCATTGTTTTTACTTCTAGGTTGTTTACTCTGCAGAAGGCTTACCCTGCATTATTGCTGACTGCAGTTAGACTCTTCACTCCAGTCTTCAGCAGACTGTTGATGAGGTTTTCTGGAATACCGCATAGGCCAAAACCTGTGAAAGAAGGAAAAACAAAAGTAAAGGTTTATATATTTGATTTTTATTAAATGCTCGCTGTTATGACTCAGCATTGTCACTACATTTTGGTCTGAGAGTCACTTATTACCAATTATGTTACACACAAACATAAGCTTCAAACAAGCTTTCTAAGGAAATTGTGATGGAAAAATAAATTAATATTACCTACCAGAACATCCTTTTCAAAATATTATAATTAGTGCCAATAATAACAACAATGCAAGCTTTTTTGGCATACAAAATTAGTTTATGGATTAATTACACAGTTCTTCATTTCTAAGTAATCAAGACTAAAATTACTTTAAAAATATTTTGTTAAACTAAATAAACAACTATTAAATTAAATAGGTATGACCTTAATAAGTTTTATTATTTTTAACGAATAAAATGTGCTTTTGTGCTGCACAGTGGCGCAGCGGGTAGCACAATCGCCTGACAGCAAGAAAGTCAAGTTCAAGCCCTGGCTGAGTCAGTTGGCATTTTTGTGTGGAGTTTGCATGTTCTCCCCGTGTTTGCGTGGGTTTCCTCCGGGTGTGCCAGTTTCCCCCACAAGTCCAAAGACATGTGGTACAGGTGAATTAGGTAAGTTCAATTGTATGTAGCGTATGGGTTTGAATGAGTGTGTATGGGTGTTTCCCATAGGGCATGGAAGGGCTGGAAGAGCATCTACTGCGCAAAACATATGCTGGATAAGTTGGCAGTTCATTCTGCCGTGGCGACCCCAGATTAATAAAGGGACTAAGCTGAAAAACTTTTTTTTGCTTTTTATATGTTTACCATTGTTTAACCAAAATAGTCAAAAATTGACATTTTTGAAAAAATTTAACTTCTAAGTCCTGTTGGTGTAGTAAAGAAAAGTCTATCTAGTTCTGTCTGTCTAACTAGTTCAAGGGTTTCAAACTCATGGAGGGCTGCAGCTCTGCACAGCTATCAAACACAGCTGATCCAAATAATTTAGTTGTCCAAAGAGTCAAGAACATTAGTTGAACCTTCATTAGTTGGATCAGCTGTGTTTGATCAGGGTTGGAGCAACACTGTGCAGGGTTGGAGAAAACAAATTAATAATTGATCAAAACAGACAAATATAATCTGCTCTTTTTCAAATAAACACTGTTTTTTATTAACTTTCTATTCATCAAAGAATCCTGAGAAGAAGAAAAAAACTATCACAGTTTTTGCAACATATTAAACTGCACAATAATAACAGTTTGCAACACTGATAAAAATCTGAAATGTTTTTTTTTAATAATCAAATCTGTGGTAACACTTTATTTTAAGGTATCGTTGTTCCACATGCTTCATGTAGAGTAATTATAAATTAACTATGAATAATAATAATAATTATTATTACATCCCACTAACATCCTACTCTGTAATTTAATGAGCATGTAAACTGAAGCAAGCATACTTTAAACTCTAAATTATACAAAAAATATGTTAAATAGTAATTCTGGTATTGTATTTTGTACATATTTTGCTGTACAACATTCTGTATTTTTATGCAATCTTGTTGAGAATAAAAAACTTCTTCCAAAAACACAATAAACAACAGATGTCAAACTAATAATTAGACAGTTAATGATTAAGATATATTTTATAATCAATCATATCCCTTACCTCCCACAAGAACAGTCGCTCCATTAGGAATATCTTTGACGGCGTCTAGAGGGTCCGAATAAAACTGTGCAGACCTCTGACTTGAAGTGGAGAAGTAACAGCCACACGTCTGCCAACCATAGACATGAATGAATAAAGCACTTCAGAAAGCACTTGAAACAGATTTCCACACTTCAGCTGGCAGTCAATGAATCCACACTACAATGGAATTCCTTTAAGCTTCCTGCCAAACATTCCACTGAATCAAATTTATGAAATAATGACATAACAATTAAATAATGACCAATGGTGGACTTTTCCATTTACTCCACTGCAGATGTTAACAATTTACAATGGATTTCTAAATAATTAACGTTTCGATCATTTAAAAATGTGAAACACAATCATTTCCCTCCAATCTACAGCAGTTTGACTATTGTCCAGTGTTGACGTTCACATGCCAAATAAACCCCAGGAGCTGAGCCAAGACATCCATTTCATTTATATCTTTATTTGCTTACACAACAGTGTGTGTTTGACCTCACAAATGCTCCCGCAAAGGACAAGGAGAGGAAACAGCTGATCGCTTATCACTTCGCCTCAATAAATAATTCATTTGCTTCTGTTTTGGATGTGGAACAGCATTGAGTAGTTACACCAAATAAAACAAACTGAGTCATGATGATCAAATAACCTATAAAAAAGACTCAAGATGCAAACCACCATCGCCCTCAACAGTGTTATTCCTGGAAACAGAAGGTTGTTGCTCTATATGCATACAGAACAACTCAGTGAACCTCATAATCACATGACAATCGCCTGAGACTGTCATAACTACTGTATATGACTCCAAACAGTCCTATCTTAGTGGTCACTGTCTGGAAAACTGCAGTCCTGGTTCTAGGAACTATTGCTATTATAACAGGTTAGTCTAAATATAAAAGTATAATATAATATAATAAGCCAAATAGTGGGAGGAACAAAAGAGAACGTGAGAATAGAGTTGGGGTACTATCCAATGAAAGGTTTGACAGAGAGTGCTGTCATCCCTCTTAAAACTAAAGGATCGTTACTGGAATTGATGGTTCCATGAAGAATTTTTACAACCTCCGGTATCTTTCTAACACAAATGGTTCTTTATAGTGAAATAGTGTTGATTTTAATAAAAATATTTTTACAGAATGAATTACTGCTATTGCTATATTCATAAAAATACAAATTACAAAAATATACATTATATGAATTTAACAAATAAAATAGGTAATAATATTAAATAAAAAATATTACTAACAGTATATGAAACACACCAAAATTGCTTAGTGACCACGTGTTCCCAGGTCAACAATGAAACATACAAACAGAAAACAAACCTGAATGAATGGTTGTGACTGTGAAAATCAAGGTCATGTTTATGCTAATTGTCTTTTAATGCTTTGTTGAAGAACACAAAATTACTTTTTACTAATCTCCGAGTTCATATGTAATTCACAGAATACTAAAAAAGCTGCAGTATTCCTCATTCATTCATTCATTCATTCGCATGCACCTTTCCAGCATCATCCATACATTCACAGCTTCCTTGTATTATCTAAACGTCCATCTTTCATCTGCAATGGAAAGCAAGGTTGACAAACGACCAAAATAGAAGCACCGACACGTTGGACATCATGCTAAATTTCGGATACACCGAGTTTTGTTTGTAAACACTGACCTTGCCGACGGAGAATCGCGGGATGTTCGTCTTGATCGTCGCTGTCACCTTCCTGATGAGCATATTCTCCGCTCTAGATAGCGCTTTAAGAGTCGCCATTTCTGCAAATTACAGGCCTAATTTTGTGTATAGTGAATGATGGTGACAGTATGCCCTCGTTGATCTCAAATAGGCGGGGATGAGGTAACTGAGGGAGTGTCGGGGGCTCGATTTGCTTATTTGCATTTAACCCTCACGCTACCATTTTGCAGTTTCCGATTCATTCTTATGAGTCGGTTCTTTTTTCAATGCATCGGTTGCTCAGCGTTAACGAATCGTGATGGATCTTTCGGGGTAGATCAAGATTCAATAAGGCAGAGTTTTAAAATATATCCTCACAGTGATGCTAGTGGAATATAAGAGTTTTATCAATATGCACGTTTTTATTTTTTTATTTTAAAGTAATTAATTTATTTCTTTATTAATTAATTTAAAATTAAAATAGGTTATTTTCTATTTTCAACCAAGGTGGCTCATGATTCGACTGCAGTTAAACAGGGAGACGTGACATAATAACAGTTTTTGTATTATTAATAATAATAACATTATTCATTCATTAATTTTCTTGTCGGCTTAGTCCTTTTATTAATCTGGGGTCGTCACAGCGGAATGAACCGCCAACTTATCCACCACTTTTTTAGAAAAAAGATGATGCCCAGATGCCCTTCCAGCCGCAACCCATCTCTGGGAAATAATAACATTATTATTATTATTATTATTATTATTATTATTATTATTATTATACATTAATAATTTACTAATGATTTAATAACTTATAACGAATTAATAATATATTCAAAAACAATGTTTTTAGGTTTCACTGGATTTAAGGGAGATTTTTTTAAAAAAACCTGATAACATTGCTTCAAAATTTCAATATTAAAAAAACATTTATTTAGATACAAATTAACCAGAAAATAAATTAATTTAAACAAATAAATGCTATGGAGAAGAAAACAGACATCACGTGATAGAACAACTACGTCATAGCCTAAAATATCTGAAGAATCTTACATTGAACTGGTTCTTCAAAATGAACTGTTCAAAAGAACCGACTCGCGGAAATGAGTCTCGTACATCCATCATCACTACTGCCAAGCTTCATTTCAATCCACTGTTATCAAACGCAGTGTATAATAAGGATCAATCGCATAAGGGATGAACAAAGTAAGCTTTTGTTTTGATGTAACCGCCAGGCCTCTAAGTTTATGAATGAAACGACAGAACAAAACACCCCAGTAATCCTCCGCACGTGAGTAATCGCGCGCTCGTCACGTGACTGTCGTTTGCAGTCATGGCCGACGACTACAGACGAAGCGTCGAGCTGGAGAGGAGGATTTTCGAGTTAGACAACAAGTGTGCCACTCTTCGGACGGAGAAACCAGGTAAACGGGAATCGTGTCGTCAATTGCGCAAAACCAGGCTGTCGTTATTGTAGAAAACGCATGTTCGTTGGCCGAACAGACCGGTGTTGTCATCGTTAGCTAGTTAGCTTAGCCTATCTGCGTTAGCATTCCTGCGATCCACAACAAACATTTCCCTGTCCTTCTGATACCTGTGTGTTTGAGAAAATGTTCGAATAACTAGCAGAGTAGAACACCGTAGTACTAATATCAAACCATGTGCTATTTTAAAAGCAAAATCTTCTTTATTGTGTGCTGTAATGTTTAATTTTTGCTGGTTAGTTAGATACACTTTGCATAAACTGAGTAAAGTCGTATGAGGTCGTGCAGTGACATAACGCAATGTAAACATTGCAATCGTGCAATGTTATTCTGCAGTGGGATGTTAAAATGTAACCATGAGTAGCATATATTTTATAGGTCCCACATTAATAATTTCTGTAGACACATTTTATAAATTATATGTCTACTTCAAACAAAACAGAGGTTTATTATTCCACATTTGGTCATTTACATATAGAGAATGCAGATTGTTTCGTTATTTATTAAAAAAAACATTCAGTAATATTTAACTTACACACATGCTAATGTATTCTTAGAGCTTTTAATGTTTTAATATGATTATCATCAGGTAGAGTGGAAACATATGATTTTTATCTGTTTATTTAGAGTGCAGTGTGGTTTATGTGTAAATGTTTTTTTATTGATTTTTTCATTTTTTGCAGTGTCCTTTTTGTCTTGACTCTTAAAGCTGTAATTTTAATGTTTTGTATCAAAATCTGTTTCTCTCTTTTGTCACAGTTTTTAACCCTGATTCCACAAAATCATTTAGGATGAGACGTTTACAAGAACATATTCAAAATTTCTCCCAATCTTCAAAAAAATGGTCTTAATTTGCACTTCTTTGTTTTAGGCTCTTAAAAGGACTCTGAAGGAAAAGAATCATAACAGAAAGTAGAGCTGGGTGATTTGGCTTAAAATCAAAATCTTAATTTAACATTTCAACTCGGTTATGATTAATGAACGATTATTGCATTTATTTTTTGCCTTTTTATTTCACTGACAGATTTTTTACAGGAAATATGCTCGCATATAGGCATGGGATGATAACCCTTTTCAAGGTGTACCGCTGTTTTGAAAAGTCAAGGTTTTAAAACCATCAACAACTTTTTCAATATTGTTCATAAGTCACTGTATGTGCAATGTACTTTTTTTTAGGACAACAGTATCTCCAGAAAAGATATCCAAAGATGTCATTTTAAATGGTAAAAAAAATGTTTTTGAAACTAATTAAGACAGCAGAAGTGAATAATTAATTTGAATTATTTTCCCTGACATGTATACTGCTCCAAAATATTTTAAATGTTTCTCAAATGTTTTAGTTTTTACCCAGACATTTAAAAAGAATATATTTTAGAGCAGTAATCACAATACCATGAAGCCGGGATATTTTTATTCAAGGTTATTATACCATCACAATCTTTTACTGGCCCATGCCTACTCTCATATTACAAGTGAGAGATTTTTAAATGAAGGGTGCATTACTTGATTTTAATTAATCAACTATCTATGATTTTCGATTGAACATCAACGTTAAACAACTGAAATAAAAACACACATTGCCTGAAAACAGTCACTTTATTTCTTAAAAAAAGTGGAAAATAAATAACTTGCACTTTATTTTCAATCGATTTCGATCAATATAGGATCTAAATGTTGATTTTGGTTAATTGCTCAGCCCTAGCAGAAAGTCCTAAATTCATAAAGTTGACTTTTTAAATGGTGCATACATGTAGAAATCTTCTGCTGTTTTGAAGTTTTAGTGTAATTATCCAAACATTCTTAAATGAAGAGACTTGAGATGCAAAACAAAGCATCTATGAGAACCTGAAGAACATTGAATGAATTAAAATCTGGAAGCATATGTCAGTGGAGTATGAAAAGGATTTCTGAATGAAGTTGAGCTCATTGGTAGTTACTTGTTCTTGTTTAAATTATATACCTGCTTCATTTTTAATCATTTTCTCAGAAATAAGTCTTCTCATCATTTTGTTGTTTTGCCTCTCAGGCTAATTCTGATTTACTCGAGAAGATAAGAATCAGACAGAAGAAGATGCAATGTCTGTCACAGTGTGATTAAAAGATACATTTTAATAATGTTTGACAGCAAAATTGGTTAAAATTTGTTACAAATAAGCACAGCTAGAGTTTTTTAGCCAATTTTTAAAATTTATATGGTTCCTTTTCCAGCATCCATGTTGTAATGTAATTAAAATACATTCAGTTAAATAAACTTTAGCGTTCCTTCATTTAGTTCAAGCATAAAATGAGATGAGACACCACAGAAGTGTAACCGCTAGCACCATCAGGATCAGCAGGCAAGCACTGAAATTCCATGGAATATACTTTGGTAAAATAAACAGTTATATTTTGAAGACATGGCAGGGATAATGGGATTGAATGCAGTGCTTCTTGTTCGGTCTGAAACCCACTTTATATTTTATATCTATCAGACAGTGAAAATTACAGATTTTTAAAGTGCCACCTTAAAGGTGGCAATTTTATAATGGAAAGACAATTCACCAGAAGCGCTAAGGCTGGCTGACTAAAAATTAAAAGTCACTTAAATAGCATATTGTGTTCATAAAATGAGTATTACCGGTTCTTAAATGTTTTTCTATTCACCTTCATAAAACCCCAACTGTTTTTCTTACGCCATTAGCTGTAACCTATTATTGCATGCCTCCTTATATTAAATGTTTTTTTTCTCTCTCTCTCCCTAGATGATGACTACTTACAGAATGCATCTTCCATACTTGACAAGTTGAAAACTTATTATAGACATGGAGGAGAGAGCAGTAGCCTTCCCAAACTGCTGCAGGACTATACACAGGTACTGCCATTTATTTGTTTGCAATAATTACATTGTTGTTCTTGTATGTATTCATTTTGACAGCAATAAAATGGAAAAATGTTTTTTGGTTAATGATATTTAATTTAAGGAATTAAACAAATGCAAATATGTTGAGGAATTTTTGCAATGTTTATCTCATAGTGTTTATATTTTGGTATTATACAGATAAAAAGCCTTTTGTTGCATACTGTAGATATAAAGATAGATATAAAATTATTGATTTTAATTTTATTCCAAAAATCTTTGCAATATTATATATAGTAAATTTCCTGTCGTACATATTTTAAAAAAGTTTTTTTTTTACCCTCAGATTCCATATTTTCCATATTCCAATAGTTTAGTCTATATTGTACTGTCTTAATAAACCATGCATCAATGGAACGTTATTCATTCAGCATTTAGTATCTCAGTTTAAAAAAAATGCTGGTTTTATGGTCCAGGGACACATATAAACCTGTAATATAACTTGGTAAGTAAAAATAATTTTAACTTGTAAATCAATGATTTGGAATCTGTGGGTTTTGATTTATTCATTGGGCATTGTGTGGTGCTATTCAGTAACTTTATAATATGCGGGGACGGTCAGTTGAGCATCAAGATGACAAATGTGTGCTTTGTTCTTGCTTCCTTCCGACTTTCTTTCATCGTATCCTGGCAAGACCCTTCGCTGCCAGATCTCAAGGTTGTTCTTCAAATTGAGAAACTGCCGCAGTGTTTTTGGAATTGTTTTAATTTAAAAAGACACATTTT